CAATACTCCATGCTTTTTGAATGGATGCAACCATGATGCCCATTCAAAATTCCAAATTTTGTTGCCCTTTCCTGCAAATGCCACTGGCTGATAAAGGTAATAGGAATGACACTTTCTATTAGCTCTCACACAGAGACATCAAAGTACAGTGAATCAGGGTATTATCCAAAGTTTATGGGAAACAATGGCTGACATTAAGATTTCTTTCTCTAAAACCATGGGCAGGGATGTATTCTCATCTGGGAACCCTCTGTGGGCTATATACAAGGAAGAGGTTCAATACATACAGTTTGAATTCACACATTGTGCTTTGTCATGGGATAATTATGGTTTGTTGAATGGTTTGTTATGTGGTTTGCTTTACATGTAACTCTAAGCAATAATTCATATTTTCCAAAGCAAAAAGTTTAGAAAGCCAAAACCAAACAAACCCCATTATATTTTAATCAGAGCTGCCAAAGCTGCGTTGCAAAAATCCAGATGACTATCTTGCAGTCATCTGGATTTTCAAAGCCTAGATCTGGTAGTCTTTCTTCAGTGCAAAGTTGAAGCCTAAAATGAACGTCACCAAACCAATGCACACATTTCCTATTCATTCACACACATTCTAAGCCACTGTAGAGTCATTTCTAATTGAGGCATAACTCCTTGCCTAGTTAGAGCAATTGCCATAGTCTTGCTGTGTCTTGCCTGTAAAGAGCCATTTCTGGAAAGGAGCCATTTTGATTTGCCAGACTCCAGAAAGACAGAATAAGTCTGGAACAGTTTGTATGGATATGACAGAAAAAACTATGGAAAAATCTGTAATTCTCTTCTCTGTTAAGAAGATCGAAACATTCACCACAGAGGGCCAATTTGGGATGGCCAATTGTCAATTATTTTTACCAATTGTGTGCGCAATTTAGCTTTTCTGCCTCAGGTGCCAAATGTTATTGGCCAGCCAGTGATGTGGCCCTGGAACTAACTGTCCTGTCTTCTGTGACAGGCTCTCGGCTCCTTCTGGGCTTTTATATGAAAAAAGAAGTATTATAAAGGAACCATCCATCTCTCTAACCCAAAGGAAACATCTCCTTTAAACACTGACCTGAAAATTCTATTACAAAACAACAAACCAGGCAAAATAAAGGAAACTCATTTATCCGTGCAGCAATGGAGCAAAGAAACCTTATTTTAAAGATGAAACCTATCTTCATTCATTGATCGCCAGCTTCATGCCTCTTGTTTTTCTGCTCTCAGACTTTAAACCAGATTCCTCCCTTTCCTCAAGGAAATAGAACAAGGGTTTCTTGTCTGCAGACATTAGCGTTCAGGGGATAATTAATGAGGTGCTTATTAGCTGAAGTCTGAGTATCCAGGCCACTTAAAAGGAGAAAGCAGATATTCCACAGTTAAAGCAAGGTCTGGCCCATTTTGCTGACAGTGCCAATGCAAGTTTAAAGTGTAATGAGCATAGTGAGGAAATCAAATAAAAAAATAATGCAGAAAGAAACTTAATGTGATCTTTGAGGCCTATTTATGTTTATTTCCTCTGTCATATTAAGTGTTTCCATAAATCTAGGAGAACGGCAGTCACAGATCTCAGTGAGTGTTGAGGTAGTGTTGAAGTTGGAACTGAGAAAATAAAACAACTCTAAAACTGCCAGCAAATGTGAGACAACATTATTTACCTTTGGCTGTGTCATTTCCGATCCGACCTGAAGAAAAAGGGGAGAGGGGAAGAGGGGCCAGTAGACTTCCTGCAAAAGAGTTAAAGTAGAAATACAGTGCAAAAAAAAACAAAAAATGCTGACTCTGATTTAAGAAAACCTGAAGCAAACATCCTTGTCATCATCTTTCGTGGAGATGTTTACACAATTGAGTTGCCTTTGCTAGTGACTGTTTGTATTCAATTTGCTCCCAGCATTTCATCTATAAACTCATTTCCTTTATCCTCCTCAGTTTCCTTATTTGAGCTTCGGTGGTTGTATCATTTTAAGTCACATTGTACCCTGAAAAAAAATCTGCTAGCTGACCTTCAATTGGAGGGGTCACATGACTTATATACCCTCAGGCTAAAATTAAACTTAATATAATATTCATATTGTACATCTCAGTATTTTATCCAGCCCATTCTTCACGGTTGCCAAGTGAAATGGCCTTTAATAGGCACATAACAAATCAACACTGACATTATGAGCATTAATGAGTAAAGTGTTTATAAACCCAAAATGCTAAATCTCTCATTTCAGAATTTATTGCAGCTACATTTTCTTTATTGAAGGCTAGAAACTATATATATCTAATGTAACTTGATTTATAGGCTTGCCTTCTCATGAATGGTTTGGAATTTTCCACTGGTGGCAGCAGGACAATAAATGGAAAGAAGAAAATGAGTGAAAGAATTTTAATTGTATTTTAAGTGCGGCCTTTTCTGTCTTGGTATAAAATTTGTTATTTTAAAGAGCACATTATGTTCGATGCATCCAACCATGCCTTTGATGAGAAAACCCAAGGGATAAAGATTTCTTGAGAGATTCTGTATTCACAACTAGATAAGGCTATAGTGATGAAAACTAATGGAAGCCCAACTGAACCCTCTACACTCAATGAAAGATTTGGGACCATTAATTTACTTTCTCCCTCTTTCAACCCTGCCCACCTCGCTGAATTGTTTATTTATTTATCTATTTATTTTGTCAAGCATGTATTAGATAACAGATTTAAGTATAAACATGATTATGAATACAGGAAATAGATACGAATAAAGGGGGACATTAGGACAGGGACGGTAGGCATGTTGGTGCGCTTATGAATTAGAATTAGATTAGAATTTTTTATTGGTCATGGGTGATTGGACACACAAGGAATTTGTCTTGGTGCATATACTCTCAGTGTACACAAAAGAAAAGATATGTTCATCAAGAATCATAAGGTACAACACTTAATGATAGTCATAGGGTAAAAATAAGCACGCCCCTTACAGACCTCTTAGGAATGGAGTGAGGTCAACAGTAGACAATCTAAGGTTAAAGTTTTGGGGGTTTGGGGAAGAAACCACAGAGTCAGGTAGTGCATTCCAGGCATTGACCACTCTTTTGCTGAAGTCATATTTTCTTCAATCGAGTTTGGAGCAGTTCACTTTAAGTTTGTATCTATTGTGTGCTCGTGTATTGTTGTGGTTGAAGCTGAAGTAGTCATTGACAGATAGCAGATAATTTTATGTACTACACTTAGGTCAGACCGAAGGCAGTGTAGTTCTAAGCCCAAAATTTCAAGTCTAAGGTATAAGGTATTCTGTTGCGAGCAAAGGAGTGGAGGACTCTTCTCGTGAAATATCTCTGGACTTGCTCAATTGTATTAATGTCCGATATGCAATGTGGGTTCCAGACAGATGAGCTATATTCGAGAATTGGTCTGGCAAATGTTTTGTATGCTGTAGTTAGCAGTACAATATTACCAGAGAAGAATTGTTGTGGGGGATCTATGTAAATTGAAGGTCCCTCCAACGACAAGGCAGGATACAAGTCAAAGAAATGCACAGTAGAAAGTTTTGATTCAGATGACAGGTGTCTTCTTAAGCTTTAAATCCAAGTTTAAAACATATTTGTTTAATTATAAAAACTAGGGATGCTCCTCTGGATTTGAGCTTCTGGATCAGCCTTAGTGACAGGACTTACTGGCTTTTCTGTTGAATGCCTGGCCTGATTCTTAACTGGGTAACACAATGGTGAAAAAAAATCCCACAGAACAATTGGTAGAAGTAGAGGTAGAATTTTATTCAAAGAGCCAGACAGCAGAATAGACGGTCAACAATTCAAAGGTGGCCACCAAGCTAGAAAGCTGAGAGTGATAGTATGTTTAGTGACAATGAGCTTTGATCATGAAGTAATGGACTTTAATGTGGAGCCTGTTAGATGTGTAAATTAAGATGCCCTTGTCTTGGGAATGTGTAATGTGAGAGGAACATGAGAGGAAGATCTTTCCTTGCCCTTTGGGGTGGATGATCTTAAATGTGCAGATCCTTTCCTGAGGTGGATTTTTTATGAGTATAGTCTGGCATCGAAGTGAAATATTGACATAAAACATTTCCCTTATCTTGAGGAGATTCCATTTGTCTGCAGAACTGGAGAAGCGTGCTTAATCAATTTCAAGTGTCAAATGCTGGCAGAGAGAGCCCTAAGCAGGGATGGGGGGGGGTGTTTGTATCTCTTTTTTGAGGCTTGCTGGCAGATCAGAGGCGCCCCAGGCTGCCATGCAACCTGGCTAAAAGCAGAGGGGATGTTACTGGGACTTTTATTTTCCCATGTAAACTTAATTTTAATTAATTTGCTTATATATTTTAATAGGTTTTATGGCATCCAGGTTATCTATTTTTGTTATTATAAAGAAGTAACCTATTTGGTATTCCATTATTCTCTTGGAATTAGACCTATTTAGGTCTTAATGCATATATTCTCTATTTATTTATATTTTCTAATTAAATATTTTGGTGTTTCTATTCCACACTTAGATTTTACCTGTGATATAAATAATGATGATGATAATGATAATGGTGATGATGATGGGAGACCTTACTGGAAAAGCAGTTGAAATAATAAGTTTGGTGTAGTGGTTGAGCTGCTGACCTAGAAAGTGGGAGACTGCGAGTTCAATTCCTGCCACAGCCATGAAAGCTGCCTGAGTGACTTTGGGCCAGTTCCTCTTTCTCTCTCAGTCCAACCCACCTCACACGGCTGTTGTTGTAGGGAAAATAGGTGAAGGAAGGAATAGGAGGTATGTTCACTGCCTTGAGTTGTGTATGAAAAAAAGGCTGGATAAAAAAACTAAAAAACAGAAAAAGTTAGGAGATCATTTTATAAGGCAGACAGATGCCAATGTTTGACTTATTTTCCCAGTTTTAATCAAATTGTGAACGTAGAGTGTGAGACATTATTGGGTAGAGAGGGGGAAAAATGGAGGACTTACTCTATGGAGAGTGATATACCTCTAGAGCTGTTTTCTCCTTCCTGTTCTTTCTTTAGCCTCCCCCACAGCTTTTTGCTAATTTATCCATCGGCCCTGCCTAAAACCTTCTCTACTGCTAGTGGGGCATGAGTGAAGTTAAGAGTAAGTATCTCTCTCTCCTTCTGTCACACGTATGCCTCATTAAAATAATGAGCATTCCTCTGTCTTGGGTGATAACTTACATTGCTATCTTGCTTCAATTTTTCCACTTCTTTTGATACCTATCTTTCACACTCAGTCTCAGAGTCCGCTATTTCCTGTTGTTCAGTAATGTCAACTCAGTTTCCATAGCAGCCTGACAAAGCTCTTTTCTAGATCATATGCTTGAAGCATCAATGCAAAAAGGGCACCATTAATTGATGGTACACGTTCACACCTCTTTGGGACAAGACTAGTTTTGCTTCGATTGTCAATTCAGCTCTAAGCTTTTTAATTTCTGCAATGCAAGCCAACCCAGGGGTGAAATCCATTTTTTTACTACCAGTTCTATGGGTGTGGCTTGGTGGGTGTGGTGTGGCTTGGTGGGTGTGGCTTGGTGAGTGTAGCAGGGGAAGGATACTGCAAAATCCCCATTCCCACTCCACTCCAGGGGAAGGATACTGCAAAATCTCTATTCCCTCCTCACTCTTGGGGCCAGCAAGAGATGGTATTTGCCAGTTCTCTGAACTACTCAAAAATTCCACTACCGGTTCTCCGAACTGCTCAAAATTTCCGCTACCAGTTCTCCAGAACCTGTCAGAACCTGCTGGATTTCACCCCTGAGCCAACCCTACTATGCTTAGAAATCATAATAAACCAGTCTAAGTGTTTTGTCTTCATTATGAACAGGTTTGATGATGCCTTGTTAACAGAAGTGGATAGGCAAACCACAGAACCTACAATCTTTCCATGGATTATAACATCATATCAAGAAACTCTGACTTTGCTGCTTTCCTAAGCAGAGTCGAAAGCTGGCCTCTGATCCTTGGCTTATTTAGAAGCCATTGCTTTGGTTTAGATGTCATAATAAACAAACTGGAAGGAACTTTCATAGTTTATTTTGCTGTTCCTATTGGCATGAAGGACCAAGTAGGAACAATAAAGCAGCATACCTCATTTGTGGCTCATGTGTATTTAAGGCTGAAGGTTTAGTAACATACAACTACAACCCTGAATTAATAGCACAGCCAGCACAACAATAAAATACTTTGTTGATGTATCAGAGCCATTTCTCTTAGTGGCAAGTATTTTAAGATCCTCATTCCTTTATGGGGTTCTGTACCTCAACAGAAAGCAAGAAATAAGAGCTAAATGACATTGATCTCTTAAAATTTCTCCAGTTTGTCAGCTGAGAAACTGAGGTATCATTTTGAAGAAGGGGGAAAATGCAATAATTTCTTTGAGGCAGGAGAGAGAAATAGGAATGCATGCAAAAATCTTAAAAGGGAAATGAACCAGCAGAGCCAGAAAGCAAATAAGGACACAACCCATAGACCACAAATTAGTGGTTAACATAATATGGCCCCTATACAGGAGTTGACTAACCACACTTGGGGATGGGTCTGTATTGGAAAATTAAAAATTCTGACCCAAAGGGATATTACCCTACTCCCTTACACAACAGTTGATCTTATTCTCTCATTCCTCAGGCTGCAGGAAAAGGAGAAATAGCTTTTACCAGATGTCTGAATTGCAAAGACTTTTAAATTAGGTCATGCCTACAAGTGACTTCAAGAGGATAGGCTGATATATCCCTTTAAATCTTCTCTTGAAGTTAATCACATTGTACAGTAGCCACATTTTCTGGTACAACTTTTCCAAGTTCCTGACGTCGATCCATCTTTGTGGCTTCCTTCAACCCTAATCACTGTCAACAGCTCCTAGTCTGGTTAAAAGCATGTTTGATTAACACTGTCTTGTGAAAATATTCTAGCAGAATTGTGATCGGCAGGAAAGTTAGAATTTCCTTTTTCTGCTATTTCTCTGCTCCTGTCCTCTTTAAACTGTTGTTTGGGCTTTGTTGAGAAAAATAATGAAAGATAAGCTGCATGCGTTCTACCTCACATTTATGTTGTCCTGTATACAAGTTCAATGTTCACCTTATCTACTTAAATTTTGATGAGATTGGATGAGTTAAGTAAGGATTATTTACTTGATTTTTAAAAATTACAATAATGCTCGTATAGATTTCACATTGACAGTATAAATAAATCAGATATCTATCTCTAAATATGGGGAAATTAAAATACGTCTAAAGAATGCATTCCATTTCAAGTGATGATGACATACCGTTGAGAAATGGCAGTTAATATCACCTTATTTGAGAATCTTCATTGGAAATCAGATAAGAAATCTCAGAAATATGTTTTCATGAAACTAGTACCTTCTTTCATATCAATGAATGACTGAACGAAATGTACTGCTCAGTTCTGAAAGCTGTTAATGCAATTTATGATGAATTTTTTCTCCCCAACTGCCTCTCCTTACCAAAGTTTGGTTCGTCTTTAATGTGAAAAAAATTAAATGCCAAAATGGTGCCCTAAAATAACCCAGTTGATAGGACTCAGGTGGTAGACCAGAGGTGGGTTTCAGCAGGTTCTGACCAGTTCTGGAAAACCAGTAGCGGATATTTTGAGTAGTTCGGAGAACCGGTAAATATCACCTCTGACTGGCCCCGCCCCCATCTATTCTCTGCCTCCCGAGTCCCAGCAGATCGGGAGGAAATGGGGATTTTTCAGTAACCTTCCCCTGCCATGACCACCAAGCCATGCCCACCAAACCATACCATGCCCACCAAGGTTTACTACCAAAACTGGTAGTAAAAATTTTTGAAACCTACCACTGTGGTAGACACACCTATGGTGACCAAGGACAGAACCTAGCCCGTGGCCGCACAAACAATAAACATGCTATGTGGTCTCCACAAAAAAAATTGAGTCAGCTGGTGAGAGAAAACAGTACTTTCAAAATGGAACAGTTACAAAATGACTTTAGCTGCCTCAGTTGTGGGGATAAAACAAAGGCGAGATCATGAGAACATAGCATAAATAAATTTACCCAAGAACGTACCGGTATGTACTATGGATTTATTTGGTGGGGGGGTAGGGGTTGAGGATAAGCTTGTGGTTTGGGGTAGTTGTTGTTTTTTGCTTTGTTCTAAGAAATCTCCTAAAGCAGCAGAGTTAAATACAGAACAACAGACTGATGATGTCAGCTCTTCAAAAGAATCCAGAAAAGAATCACAAACATGAGTACTAACAAAACATTTATTGGAAGGTTACAGTAACAGAATCTCCCTTCCTTTACTTTTACTTTCCAGAAAACTAGGGAGGGTCCCTTATGAGTCACTTCCTATGCCCCTTTTCCTTCTGTGGATTGACATACCTCTTGTATGACAGTTGTCTAGACTGAACCTCTTCCTCCTATCTTCCTACGTCATTCTCACATAGCATCACCCATATTGCAACAACAGCATGTAGCTAGCATGCCCAAAACTTCTTTGTCAAATGGAATTGAATAATAAAGAATATGTGAGGCAACCATTTTTGCTGGTTGTCACTGGCTGAATAAGAAAGTATACCATGTCACTGGAAACAGGATAACTCAAGTAGGCTACTACAGTATATGAGCAAAAAGAAATTCCTTCAGTTCCTCTCCTAAAACTTATGTTTTGATTTCCCTGAAGTCGGCAAAACTCCTTTCTCCAAACATTTGAATTCTGGTTAAATTTCTTGCTTTGTTGTTTTTATTATTTGTTCTGCTCAACAATGAACAACAATGTCATTTAGTGCACTTATCATAATTGATGGTAAAAAAGAATTATGGGAAAAGAAATGAGCTCAAAGATATTTTCATAAATATTTTTTTTCTCATGAACAATTTCACAGCTACCCAGAATCATTTCAACAGTGAGATAAACAGTGTGTAAATTTAATAAATAAATATATAATAAAAAATTAGGGAAAAATTGATTGATCAATGGATGTATGGATGCTATGTTATTTAATACTGAGATAGAATAGAAGATTGGAAAGAATCCGATTATTTGCAGTTTGTTTTTAGAAAACATTATCAACATTTTCTTGTTTTTATTCATTTTATTTATTTATATTCATCCAAATGCTCTCTACAGAATTATCAGGTTTATTATAAATACCAAGTTTATTTGAATAGATGCCTGAGCAGTAGTGGATACTATAACATATAGCAACTCTTTTTTTCTGATCCTTTCAAAAACTTGTATCCTTCAATTGCCCCTTTCCAATTATGGAATCATCTTAATTTCACCTACACTATTAAATCATATTTGTCTTCCTGTACCAAGAACTCATCTTAATTATTTCCCACATTTTAACAATTAGAGCATAAATAATGAAGGTCTAAATTCTATAAATCATTTTTTCTAATTTTTCTTTGGGTGATTTAATATTATTACAGACGTATGCTCACTTCCTTTTATTTCTTTTATCTCAGCTTCTTACAGCAAGGATTTTATCACCCCTAATATTTAATGTATTTAAAATCACTAACCATGTTTTCTGTGCTTTGACCAAACACAGGTTTACCAGTCCTTCATGCCGATAAATCAGATCTCAATGCTGGAAATTTCAGAGCTTCCATAAAAACCAGTCTCATAGTGCTGAGGTATGAATCATTCACTTATAATATTTTTTTCTCATCTTTAGACTGGAAAGATGAATTATCACATCACCTGCATCCCCAGATTTTTGAGCTTCCTTCTTAGAGCTTCAACATTCATGGGGATAATTGTCAGTGAACTTAATAAATTGTGGAAGATGATCTGTCATATCCCTGATTAATGGTCCCCAAAGTATACACTTGTGAGCCAATAAAGTCTGGTTATTACACAGTTTCTTGTACTCATAGGAAGCAATCATTCATTGATCTATAAATAGACCATCAGTAGTTCTTAGGATACATTAATTAGAACCAACACTCATTCAATATATGCTCTTCTTGCCCCTCATTGCAATATTCTCACACTCCTCGAGAGTAGTTTCTATGGTTACTATCCTTCCTTGTCTTCCTGTTGAAATCCATTCATGCAGGTCAGAGATAATTCTGAGCAATGGTAAATAAAGCACACTATTAAATTTTGTTATTGCCATTTATGGTTGGTTGGACAGTCAGCCAGATGTTTAGACTGGATTTGGCATTTCCACCCCATCTATTAAGTCTTTCCCAAAGGCCTGGGATAGCCAGATGTTGTTTGATGGTGTTAAAGGCACCATTGCAGGATGCAAGCTGTTCTAAGTAAAGCTGCCATTTGCAATTGACTGGTGTGATTTTGCCAATGCCGATGGTGTTCAGGCAAGGTGCCTATTATTATTGGTAGCATTCCTGCTTTCTTTTGACACAGTTGTATTACTTCTATTTGCAAATCTTTGTATTTTGTAATTTTCTCCAGTTCTTTCTCTTCTCTTCTGCTGTGTCCAGGTTCTGCCAAATCTACTATCCAGACTTTCTTATCAACAATTATTAACTCTGAGGTGTTATGTGGCAGGTGCTCCCCCCCTTTCTCTCTAATCTCTCCTCTATTTGTGTATGTGTAAATCATGTTTATCTTAATACAAGATAATTGTATTTAATTTTGGCAAAATTAAAATGGCATGTTTAAAAAGATACTATTAATAGGAAAATAGCTTGGTTCTGAGTAATATGGGGATATTTGAAATGAATTTGTTAACATTCCAAGATAAGATTGATCAGCACTCTACTAGATACATTCTTATAAACATGCATAGATCTATAATCAGTCTACAGAGGAACTCCATGAGGGGAAAGGCTCTGGGTTGTAAATTATAACAATGGTAGGAAATGTCCTCTGAACTGGATTTTTTTTTTTGCAAATTCAGCAAAATTAAATAGGGGGAGGGATTTTTTTTTAAATCCTAATTACTCCCCACAAAGACTATGGCTACTAATTTACTTCATTTTCCACATTTCATTCCCATCTCCATATAGAATGCAGAAAATCCTTTTATAAAAGCCTTTTCATGTGATATGCCACTGAACAAGTCTGCCAAATAATAATATCCCCACATAAAGTAGCTAATGAAATCTTTCCCTCCTAGTGTTAACAAGCGGTTCAAATGATTTGTTAAAGCTATTCATCTCTGACATGTCCCCTCTCTCATTTTATCATTTCCTTCCTCCTGTTTTCATCTGTTTTAATAGCCAACAGGGTGGCTTATCTACCGGTTATTTTTTTAAAAAAAAAACATGTTCATATAATCTTGGCTCAACTCCCTGGGCTGTAGTTTCTTGGCAAACACTTGTCTATCAGGGCTTCAATTGAAAATGTCACAAGTTAAAAACATCCCACCCAATTGTTTATTAACATAAAAAATGGTGGTCAATCATGCTCCAATCGGTCAGCCATATCTACAAAATGGGAGGGCAGTTGCCCTCATCTTCCACAATCTACCAGTTGAATATTTTATTGCTAATTTGGCAGTGCATAAGCACAATATGCTTAAGGCATATTTAGAAACCTGGAAAGGACCTTTCTCTATATACTACATCTGGTGCCAGTAAAACAGATGCAGTACTCATTAATGGACAATTATCTTATTTACTTTAATGGCAAAATTATAGAATTAAAATAGAATGGAAGGAGGAGGAAGAGAAGGAGGGCCAGAGGATGCTGCTGTTTATGCTTGGATCTCCTGTTGTCCCCAAAATGCTTACCTAGAACAACATGATGATGGTGTATTGTGGGAACCACAAGTAGAGATAAACTAACCCAGTCAACTACACCACAATCCAGTTTACCACACAAAGGGGTAAATTTAGGTCGAACAAAGTCATGATAGCAGTTTTTTTTAAAATTTGATTTATATGCCGCCCTTCTCCGGAGACTCAGGGCAGCTTACAATGCGTTAAGCAATAGACTTCATACTTTTATATATTTATACAAAATCAGCTTATTGCCCCCACAAACTGGGTCCTCAATTTACCTACCTTAGAAAGGATGGAAGGCTGAGTCAACCTTGAGCCTGGTGAGATTCGAACTTACAGTAATTGCAGACAGCTGGTGTTAATCACAATGCTATCAGTCTGCTGAGCCACCAGGCCCTATTAAGTTGTACTGTGTACTGTGGGAACCTCTAGTTTGACTTGTTATACATATCTAGTTCTCCAAGAAAAAAGAACTGGAAAGTATTTCTTTTCTGAAAAAGGAAGATTCTCCATCAGTGCCACAACTTGGAGCACCAAAAGTACTAGCTGCAGTAGTCAATTTATGCCTAACCCTGCCTGACTAACTTGGTAAAAGATGCCAGTGATGCCATGTAATCTTGCTAATCCTTTTCTGAAGAACTGAAGAAGCTTCTTGGATGAGAAACTAAATGTTATTAAACGAAGCCGTTATTGATGGAGCCATTCTTACTTGCAGAGGAAGGCCATTCCAAGAATGCAGGGACATCACAGGGAAACAGTGCCTCCAAGCCTTGTCCCACTTTGTTTTTCAGAGATGGTCCATACCAATAACTTCTCCTGGATGGATTGAATTTGGTTGGTGGAAATGACCTTGAAGAAACCTAGGGGCCAAGCTATAAAAGGTTTAACAGATTAAAACTTTGGAACTGCAGCCAGCAACCTATAAGCAGCCAGTCCAGGACCTGAAAAATTGATATAAGATCACCATAGTATTTAGTGCATGCCAACCTGTGGTTCATCTCATCCTGAACCAATTGAAATTTCCAGAGCTGTTGTCAAAGGCAGCCCATACCCATCACATTGCAACACTCCCAGGTAGGTCCCCTATTGGTGCATCAGCTAAAAGTGAGCAAAGGACTTTTTGGCTGCAGTCTCTACTTGCTCTTCTAATACCATATTTTTCGGAGTATAAGACACACCAGAGTATAAGACCATCTTAGTTTTTGGGGAGAAAAATAAGAAAAAAGCTGATTGGCAGGTGGATCGGCCTCCCAGAAAACCCCAATCAGCTGTTCCCAGAGGTGAATTTTAGCAACAGGTTCCTTGGTTGTGAGCTCTGTGCCTTGCTTTTTTTTGCTTTTTTTTCTGCCTCTGAAAGCCTCCAAAACAGAGCTTCAGAAAAAAAGCCTCTGAAGCTCTGTTTGGGGGCTTTTTTTCTGAAGCTCTATTTGGGGACTTCTTTTCTGAAGCTCTGAAGCTCTGTTTGGGGGCTTTTTTTTCTGAAGCTTCTTTTCTGACGCTTTTTTCAGTCTCTGAAACCTCTGTTTGAGAAGCTGGATGGGGCTACATTCGGAGTATAAGATTTTCACACCCAGATTTTCACCCTCTTATTTTGGGGGAAAAGGTGCATCTTATACTCCGAAAAATAGGGTAATAGTTATGAGTCTAAGCAAAGGAGAACATGTTTCTCATTGGCTTATATTTTTTTTTTATCCATGGTATCTTACTGGACTACCTGCAGGGGTTGGGGATGGAAGAATTGTTGTTCAATGGTTTTGCTCCTTCCTTAATGGGCAGATTGAATCAGTGACTCCCCTCCTCAGTAGGGGAGAAGACATTGATTCAGTGGTCTCTGATTTGCAGATTTCTTCTGGGGTTGGCCCTTCCTTACCTGTTCTTTAACCTCTCTGTGTGAAGCCACTGAGGGAGCCAATCCAACAGTTCAGGATGCAATATCATCAGTGTCTCAAGGAAATTGACATTACCATCCCAGCTGGAGGAGAGATGCTACGGATATTCTTTCTTGGTGCTTTGAGGCTGTCAGGGTCTGGATGTGGCATCACAGGCTGAAACTGAACCCAAGCAAGGCAGCTATACTGGTTGTCCATTTAGGTTGCTTGCTGACTTTAATGTTATCTCTATAGGGAGATGCTAGAGCTAAAAATGGGGTTCCTTTTAGATTTCCAGGTTCTGCCAGTGTGGCATATAGAAGCTGTCACTAGAAATACTTTTTCTCAGCTTATTTGATACAAGATGACCTTACCACAACAATTCTTACCTTTATTACTTCCTTATTCGACTCCTGCAATGCCCTTTACTTGGGGCTAGAGAACTCAAAAGCTGCAATTGTCAAGAATTCATCATGACTGTGTGCTAACTGGCATCTGCCACTGTTGCATATGAGCGTTTGCTGTGGAACCTGTACTGGCTGTCAATCATCTCCCAGGGGTTGGTTTTGAACTGATGTAAAGCTCTTTATGGCTTAGAGTCTGGCTATTACTGTATCACTTGCTCCATCCAGAATCAGCCAGATCCACTGAGTCATCTAGGGGGAAACTGTTTCTAGTGCCCCACTTTCAGGAAATTAAAAAAAAAAAAAAAAAGCTAAGGCAGGAAACATGCTAAGAACAAAACAGCTCTGGAGGACATTCTAATCAGATTGAGTAATCTCTATCTTATTCTTAAATTGTTTCATTTCTGTGCTTTTATTTTATTGTTACCGTACACAGTTTTGATTTTATGTTGATTTTTCCCCCTAACGAAATGTTTTCATTTTCCCCCCCATATCATGTTAGCTGTTGAGAGTTGTTTCGTTGTTGTGAAATACAAGCCAATCAATTTAAATAGGAAGAGGAATATTGGTACGTTGGCCACCATGAGTTGTAGAGGAAAAAAGATGGGATCAAAATCTAAATATAGCTGTGTCTATATAGATATGTACATCTATATATCTATATCCATGAGGTTAGAGCACTATATATCTAAATCCATGTATACACATCTATCTATATACACACATCTATATCCCTATATACACATCTATATACAGTATCTATATCTATGCGCTAGAACACTATATATCTCTATATATGGATATATCCATGGGTGTATGTGTGTGTATGTGTACTTATTTCAGGATCGAGGTGGAACAAAGTTCATTTATTATTGTTTGTTCCATATAGAATCCTTAAG